GGCGCAGGGAGGAAAAAGGGAGGGAAGTGGAGACAGGGCTTCCTGTGAGAGGACGGGCAGGTCCCCTGGGGAAAGCCTGCAGTGGCATGACTGCGGTATCACTGTCATAGAACCACAGACCCTTAGGGCGGGCAGAGCCCTCAGGAGTCGGAGTCCAGCCCCCGCCCAAGGCAGGACCAGCCCAACGCAATCAGCCCAGCCAGGGCTGTGTCCAGCCGGGACTGAAACCCCTCTAGGGATGGAGATTCCACCCCTCCCTAGGGAACCCAGCCCAGCACCTCCCCCCGCCTGGGGAAATCGTGTTTCCTACGATCCAACCTCGAATATCTTATCCTGGCCACAAACAGCTACAAACACGCAGCTTGTTGCAGAAACGGGCGCGACTGCCGCCAGCCCTGACAGCCGCCATTGCGAATGGGGGCGCGCCCGCACGCTCCACTCAAGAGTCCCTCGGAGAGCGGGGCAGGGCTACAGAGCAGCTAGCCCTGGGCGGGCAGGGAGCCCTGTGCATTTGGGGAGGGGCGGCAGGGCCCAGCGTGGCAAACAGCAGCACTGTGCTAGGCTCCCGAGGGAGGCTCTGCAGGGGTGAGGCTTGGAGCTCGGTCCACACAACCTCCCTGCCTTGGTCTAATGCTCCAGCCCCTCCTGGCAGAGAGCAGGCCCCGGCAGCATGACAGACAGAGCCACGTCAAGGGCAAGCGCACTTGGTGGGGCACCGGGTGAAGCTAGACTGACCGTCCTACACGGCTTCTGCTGCTACAGACGAGCAGCGCTCAGGGAGGGTTTTGGTAGCCTGCCGTCTCACAACCTTCCCCCTCGCCCCTCCGACGGTGCCCTGCTTTCTGGGAGAGGTTTGTGCCCATCGCATAGGACACCGGGGCTGGTCTCAGGTGGAGAAGCCAGCACGCGGCGCTACGCCTTCTACAAGGCGGCAGATGGGGGCTCCGGAGAGCCCGAGCGACCTAGAGAGGCCTGAGGCAGACGCCTCTCGTGTGTGACGCAGACTCAAAACTGATTCAGGATCATGTCAGGTCACGTCTCTGCCCATCCGCTCCGGGACTGGCGCATCCCTTTCAATAAACCAGCCTACGGCGACGCTTCCCTACCGGTGAGTTGAGTCTCCGTGGGGAGAATTTCCAGCGCTTTGTGCAAGTCGGCTGCTGCCCGGACGCCTGCTCCCTGGCTCGCCCGGCGTATTGGAGCCTTTCGTTTTCAGCGAGCGCGTGTACCTGGGCGTGCCCTGAGCAACCTCCAGCTCAGACTATCAGCCAGAGCAGAGTTTTTAGACTTTGGGCAAGGACTCAGGGATTTGACAGCTCCAAGCATGGGTTGATCCAGGTAACTCTACCCTGAAGAGTCAGTGATAGTACTAGGAGGAGACAGGCCAATGATCGGGAATGAGGCTTTTCCAAGTCCTTGGCTTAGGCTATTGGGAGATACTAATAGCACTGAAATATCCCCTTTTCCTTCGCAAGAAATCGCAGTAAGAACATTCCTCACCTGCGAGAGCTGGCTGGATAGTATTCTACTGCCGTATCTAGTGGACAACATAGGGCGGGGGCGGGGGAATTCTTACCCTAACCCTTCCAGAAGCTACTGAGAGTCACCAGGGGAAGCCCCTCGAACTGCCTTGTATCGGCACAAGCGCTTCCTTACCATCGCTCACAGGCTCCTCCGTTTCAGCTTCCTCCTCGGTCATCTCCTCTTCTTCGGAGTCACCCTCCTCTCCTGGTACAGCCCCAGCATCCGGCACCACCTCCCGTTCTACGGCTTCCTTCAGCGACTTCCTTCCAGACCGCTCAGGGCTCGGAGCGGACGAGGCGCCAGAACGCCTGCTCGAGCTGGGGGTTCTCGCACGGCTGGGGCTCTGGACAGCTAGACAAGGGAGAATAAACAAGTTTCATTCCAAGGGGCCTTTCAGCCACACGTTACCTGGCTCCAGTGGGGCTTGGGGCTTCGGTGGTCTCCGAGAACAGGCCTGTCTTCAGCATGTAGAGCCTTGCGTAAGCTGCAGAGCTGCTTGCTAATACTGTAGCTACTAGATAAGCGGAGGTGCGGGTTTAGGTTACTTGGCCAAGGGTAGAGGGTTGGCGGTTGAACTACTTTGCTGCCCTAGTCACGTCCCGACACCACGGAAAGCGTGGTCAGGATGCTCACCTGGGCTACCTCGCCACTGAATTCTGAAGGAAGAGGGCGTGTGTTTGCTCTGCCTCGCTTTCTGAAGGACAGATGGAGAAGCAGAAGGGAAGGCAGAGGGTTAAGTGGAGATGGGCCTTGGCGCAGCCTAGCAATGCCCACCAGACTTGCTACGGGCACTCGGACGCTAGCAGGGCAGAGCAGAAACTCAGGGCTGATTCCTAGATCCGGTTCAAGACCGCACATGGAAGAGCAATTTATGGCTCACTGCTTCAGCTCAATTCTGATGTCAAGGCATCAGAGGCAGGTTTCCGGCTCTGACTTCTGGATCCCATGGTACTGGTGCCAGGAGCTATTTTTAGGAAGTGGGTCTGCAATGCCACTGGGAGTTAGAGATAATTGTCCAATAGGTGCCCCTCTATGCTGGCAAGGAGCGCTCTCACTGTGACCCTGAGCTGACAGACGCAGCTGTCTCCGCGCCGGGGCAGTCAGATATTGCCCCCTTACCAGCTACCCACGGAGATTTCAGTTCTTCAGTGAGCAGCAACAAACTGTAGCAAGAAGCAGCAGGTAGCTCGTTCAGAAACCAGCCAGCAGCCACATTCACATCACAATACCCGGGACCAGCCACAACCCAGTCAAAGCAAGCCACTCCGAACAGCAGGCTGGCCCAGCCAGCAAAGTGCAAGAGATGCTGCTTAGAACGGAAGCCAGACCGTCTCGTATCTAACCACTGACCAACAATGCAGCTTCTGAAGCTCCAGGGGGTGGTCGAGTGAATCCGTACGGGATAAACTTAAAAATCAACAGATAGTCTAGAAAGTGCCGCCAGACTAACAAAACATGGCGGTGGGATCATGCGTTTTCGTGGCACGGCCCACTTCTTCAGATGAGCGGAACCATTAAAAACTCCAGTCGTCTGAAGAAGTGGGCTGTGCCACGAAGCGCACGATCCCTTCGACGTGTTTTGTTAGTCTCTAAAGTGCTACCAGCCCATCGGCTGGTTTTTAAGTGTAGAATGCAGCTTCTGCGAGCTAGACACATGCAAGCAGCGAGCGGTTTTCCTCGGATGCACCTCAAAGCAGCCACAAACACACCGATTTTTTTCACCACCGCAGGACATGGAGCTGAGTGGACTTTCGAAAGGAATCCGTTTTCTGAAGCAAGGGAATAAGACGCAGCATGATGGGCAATTGCAGTTAGACATCTGTCGATGGAGAAAGCTTCCTTTCGTTGTCTTTCGGAGCAGCACTCCAAATTCCACGCAGGGCAACGGGATGCTGTACTACTGGAGCGCCTAGGAAAGCAAGAGCTTCCCAAGCTCCTTTGCTTAAAGCGTCACTGGGCCTCACGATTTCACATCAAACCATCTGCAGTTCCCCACAGACCAATGAAATCCTGGAGGGAAGGATGGTTTGTGGTTGAGGAACCCAACTGGGACTCGCTCCCAGCTCTTCCACAAGCTCCCTAGGTGACTCAGGCAGGACGTTCCATCCGGGCACCTGCCAAGAGAGGAGAGACCTCTCCTTCGCCATTCCCATGGCAAGCTCTTCGAAGCAGGCACGCCTCTCGCTGTAGCTCTGTGTAGAGCTTCCAGCACAAAAGGGCCCTGATCTCAGCTTGGGCCTCTAGGCTCTGCTGAGCTACAAACCACAACACAAAGCTAGGCTCCTAGGTAACGTGGGGAGGCCCAAAGCCAGTATCTCACGGCTCACGCTAGGGCTGGGGGGGAGTCCTTCTCACGGGGAACCTGCCCAACCCCTTCCAGGGACAGGCCTGCGAGCTTAACATTCAGCACTTGGCTAGAGACCAAAAGTCAGCTGACTAGAGAGACCAGACTCATTGCTTATTACCACCCACTAGCAACCACCGCCCCTGCCCCCTTTGCCCCCCATGGCTGGACCATGAAATGTGTGAACTCCTTATGCTGCCGTCTCGTCTGCCTTGTTCCTAGCTGTGGCACGGAGTCGGGCCAGGAACAGGAGGGGTGTCTCGCTCACAGTTAGTTCAATAAGATACATCCTGGGACCAACCCGGACGGCTGCCAGGAGCCAATGTCTGCGCCAATCTGGGGGGCAGTGAGCTGGACCCCCAGACCACCCTTCCCATTGAGAACGCTCCCTACAGGTATGCAGACAAGGTCTCTGGTGAAAGCTGAATCCAGAGCTAGGAACCCGGGGGGGCAAAGTGCTCAGCCCAGAACAGACTCAACAGAGACCAGAGAGGAGTCTGAACTGCAGAGGCGCAGGGCTTAGTTAGAGGTTTTGAATACGCGACAAGCAGCTCTCTGAGCCCTCGCACGTCTGTGCTCCTCACCAGCCTGACCACCCACCGTCAGCTCAGCCAGGAGATAAAACCGACCCTCCCCCCAGTCAGAGATCCCAGCCCTCCGGGGCACACTGCCCCTTCCCCAAAAGCCTGGGCAGCGAGACAGGGCTTGTCTTAAGACAGGGCAGGGCACCATACGGCCCACAGGCTGGATGCGGCCCAGCAGGAGCCTCAGCCAATGGGAGCTGCCTGTTTGCAGGGCAGGCAGCAAACGAAGCCTCGCCGTCCCCTCCCCGCGGCTCTGACCAGCAGCGGGTGCCCTGTGCTGCTCCGAGTGCAGGGGTGGGACAGGCAGGGAGCCGGTCTGAGCAGGCTGCTGGCTGGGAGCCGCCCAGATTCAGTGCCTCCTGGCCAGAGCCTGCCTTTGGCACCCCAACCCTCTGCCCTCCTCTCCCACCCCCACAACCCTGCACCCCAATCCCCTGCCCCAGGTGACAACTCAAAGTCTTTCACCCCAGTCCCAGGTCTCCACCCCCTCCCAGATCCCGCATCCTACTCCCCTGCCCCGGTCACAATACCCTCCTTCACCCAACCTCCTTCCTAGACCCCACAGCCCCCCTCCTGCACTCCAATCCCAACTCTGAACTCCCCTTTGCACCCAACCTCCATCCTGGACCTGGCACCTCCTCCTCGACCACTTTCCAAATTCTTGGAGTGCCCCCCTGTGACGGACCCGGCGGGGTCCGCACTGGCCGCAGGGGAGAGACCCCCCCAGC